GGCGGGGCGGGGGACCAGCCGGGTAGCAGGGTGCTGGTAGGCAGGCGGTGGGCTTCTCATCCTCTCCAGGATTTCTGGTATCTTAAAATAATGCTGAAGCAAACCTCTGGAGCATTTGTCTGTTTGCTTTTCCTGCACTACTTCCCTTGGCTAAATTGCTGGGCGTGGGAGTATTAAATGAAATGTGAGGTGGTGGAAGGCTTTCCTGGGGCTGTCTCGCGGGTGGACTGGAGGCGGGGAGGCTGGGGAAGAGGCTGGGGGGATGTCCATTGGGAGAGGACGAGGCCTGAGTGTGTTGGGGCTACAGGGACAGAGAGGAGGGACAAAGCAAAGGGAGTTGGGGGGGGCAGGAGGGACAGGGCTGGGGACCCATGGTGTCATCCTGAGATGAGGACCTGAGGGAGGAATGGGGTTGGGGGCTGTACCTCAAAGAACAAATCAGGGGGCAGGAGGGACCTGGTGCTCCACTGAGGGCCGTCCTGGGGGCGCTGCCTGCTGACCTCTGACCTCCCACCCCACCCCCAGCTGGAAGAGGAGCGCACCCGCCTGGCAGAGCAGCTTCGAGCAGAGGCAGAGCTGTGCTCTGAGGCCGAGGAGACCCGGGGGCGGCTGGCAGCCCGCAAGCAGGAGCTGGAGCTGGTGGTGTCGGAGCTGGAGGCCCGCGTGGGGGAGGAGGAGGAGTGCAGCCGCCAGCTGCAGCACGAGAAGAAGAGGCTGCAGCAGCACATACAGGTCTGGTCCCCACATCCCCATAAGCCCCCTCCCCCTCTTCCTCCCGTCTGTCCGCCCTGCCTCCCTTTGCTGCTGCAAACAGTGTCTCTTTTGGCCATACATTTGCAGAAAAAAACCTCAAAGTGGATCAAGCAGAAAGAACTCTTTTTTGGTTTAAATATTGGGAGACTCCAGAAGGGATAAGCTTCAGGCATGGCTGGATCCAGGTGCTGAAGTCAGCGCCTCAGTACTCGGCCTCTGTCCATCCGGTTCCATTGGCCTCCGTGCCACTGCATTCCCAGGCAGGCGCCCTCCCATGGTTGGCCTTCAAAGCCCAGCGCGTATTTTACACATAAGGCACATCTCAGTTCAGGTGCCACGCTTCCATGGGCGATACTTCATCTGCATTTACATCTCATCATTTGTTCAGGTGAAAAAGTCGATTTACATTCCCAAGTTGTTCCAAACATACTTAAAAGTTTTCCAGGGATTCACTGAGTGTCCGACTTTAAATTTAAAATAAACACAATGAAATAAAAAGGGAGATTCAGTTGCTCGTTCACACTGGCCACGCTAAGAGCTCAGGAGTGGGTTTGTTTTTAAAATATATTTTTATCGATATTTATTTTTTACTTTTATCGATTTTAGAGTGGAAGGGAGAGGGAGCATCATTGATTAGCTGCCTCCTGCATGCCCCCATGCCCCCCAATGGTTGGCCTTCAAAGCCCAGCGCGTATTTTACACATAAGGCACATCTCAGTTCAGGTGCCACGCTTCCATGGGCGATACTTCATCTGCATTTACATCTCATCATTTGTTCAGGTGAAAAAGTCGATTTACATTCCCAAGTTGTTCCAAACATACTTAAAAGTTTTCCAGGGATTCACTGAGTGTCCGACTTTAAATTTAAAATAAACACAATGAAATAAAAAGGGAGATTCAGTTGCTCGTTCACACTGGCCACGCTAAGAGCTCAGGAGTGGGTTTGTTTTTAAAATATATTTTTATCAATTTTTAATTTATTTTTTTATTTTTATCGATTTTGGAGTGGAAGGAAGAGGGAGCATCATTGATTGGCTGCCTCCTGCATGCCCCCATGCCCCCCACTGGGAACCAAGCCCACAGCCCGGGCATGGGGACCTCCTGGTCCTTGGTCGACGCTCAACCACTGAGCCACAAGGGCCGGGCAAACTGGAGTGTTTTGCTTTTTTTAAATATATTTTTATTGATTTCACAGAGGAAGGGAGAGGGAGGGATAGAAACATCAATGATGAGAGAGAATCATGGATCGGCTGCCTCCTGCACGCCCCCCACTGGGGAGTGAGCCTGCAACCCAGGCACGTGCCCTTGACCGGAACCGAACCCGGGACCCTTTAGTCCGCAGGCCGATGCTCCATCCACTGAGCCAAACCGGTCAGGGCAGGAGTGTTTGAATTGCCTCCTCCTTACCTGGTTGGTGAGGGTGGGATCCTGCCCTTTGGTTACGGATTTGACCTAACAGGCGAGGCAGACAGCAGGTTATTAGTCGAGAATACTCACAGCTGAGCGAGCGGAGACCACGCCACAGAGAGCCGCGTGGGGGCGCACTGGGGAGGATGAATGAGCCGTGGCCGTGGGAGGCAGGCTTTGTACCAACAAGAGGGCGAGGTGGCCCGGTTCCTGCAGGAAGCAGCGATTGGTTTGTTTGACTAATTCCAGCTGGCAGGCGCCTGAGAGCCAGTCCGCGGGGATCAGCAGGCCTGTGCCTGGCCCCTGTCTTATGGAGGGTTCCCTGCTAGGGGTGCTGATCCCAGGAGCAGAGCGGGCAGGCGGTTGGGCCACTGTAGGTCCCCCCAACTTTACCAGGTGTCAGGGCAGCTCATAATATTGCATCGTAGTTTCTGGTTTCACACCAAGGTCTCCACATGTGCCGGTCACCGCCGTAGGGGGCGGTGCCCATCGACACGATCTGTTTATTTATTATTTATTGATCAAGATCTTCACACACACAACAATGCAGTTTCCACAAGGACGAAGATGTGTTTTGTTTTGTTGATCCTCACCCGAGGGTAATTTTCTCATTGATTTTTAGAGAGAGCGGAAGGGAGGAGGAGAGACACAGAGAGAGAAGCATTTATGTGAGAGCGACACATCGATTGGTTGCCTCCAGCATGTGCCCCGACCTGGGATCTGGGGGATGAATCCACAACCCGGGTACCCACTCTTGGCTGGGAATCAAACCTGTGACCCTCTGGTACACGGGCTGATTATCTACCACTGAGCTACACTGGCCAGGGCCAATTTTTTTTTAATTCAATTGAAAAGTTTTTCTTTATTTAGCGACTTGTAATAAATGTTTACTCCTGGACCTTGAGAGAATTGTACAGATGTAAGGAACAGCCAGGGAAGGATAGGAAGTTTTTAGGTGAGAGACCAAGATTTAGAACAGAGACTTCTTTCTTCAGGGCTAAATATTTTTTTTTAGAGAGAGTAAAGGTGAGAGCGAGAGCGATAGAGGGATATCCATCAGTTGCCTTCTGTACCCACCTCCACCGGGAATCGAACCCACAACCTTTTGGTGCACGGGATGATGCTCCAACCAACTGAGCCACCCGGCCAGGGCCAGGACAAAGGCTTTTTATCTCTCCTCGGTGTCTAGAACAGTGCCTGGCACACACAAGGCACTCGGTAAATGCTTCTTGAGCTGATAAACGAAACAGACCGGGAAGGGTTTTATCCTAGCCTCGTGCGGAGTGTGGACCTGTCTGAGCCGCCAGCCCGGGGGTCCATGGACCATACCCTCCCCACCCTCCCCATCACACCAGCCCCCGGCCCCTGGGTCCTCACTGCCCTCCTCCCACCCCAGGAGCTGGAGACCCACCTGGAGGCCGAGGAGGGGGCCCGGCAGAAGCTGCAGCTGGAGAAGGTGACGACGGAGGCAAAGCTGAAGAAATTTGCGGAAGATCTGCTGCTCCTGGAGGACCAGAACACCAAGCTGAGCAAGGTCGGTGGCCCGGAGCCCCCACGGGGGCGGGTGGGG